TAAGACATGCAAACACGATTTTTGATGATATGAAAGAAGTACTGATCATTTAAAGAAGATACAGTTATGATTTTTGTGGTGATGGGGGCGGTGAATGAGCTTGTTTTGTAGCGATGCGTAATGCTGATGAAAAGATGCTTTGGATTTGCTCCAGCAGAGTCGGAGGGGGAGACAGGGTAGTAGCGTGGGGGGCTGCAGCTGAAATGATTGGGTGTTGCTTGTCATAGAATTTGGGGGAGTGGAGTAGAGGCTTGGTACACTTCTCTCTCTGCTTTTCTGTGTTTGAAATTTTCCATTTAAAAGAAAACAGCAATGCTCTTGGCCTTGTCTTGTTTATCAAACAGTAAAGCATCTTGGACACTGCTCAGCATCAGAGTACGTAGAGCCGCTTCATTCTTCTCTTTTTAGTGTCCAAGTCGAGCAGCCCTCATGTGAAAATCTGAAGTCCAAGATGATCCCAAATCTGAAACTTTTTGAGAGCCAACATGATGCCACAGGTGGAAAAATTTCCCACCAGCCCTTATGTGATGGATCCCAGTCAAAACACAAGGAGCACTAGAAATATACAGAATTCCATTCAGGGTATGTGTACAAGGTCTACATGAAACACAAGTGAGTTTCATCATCTTCAGGCTTGGATCCTCTCCCCAAAGTATCTCATGTTTATGAAAATACTCCCAACCTTGAAAAGATCTGAAATCTGAAAGACCTCTGGTCACAGGGTTTCAGACAAGGAATCCTCCATCTCTGTGCAAACATATGTCAAACACGATAAAGGCCGTAGAGGTGCAGTCAGCACACCTGTGACATTTTACGTATAATTTTACCCAAATACATAGTAGCACGTGTCTCAAGGCTCTGTCTACATCAATACAAAGGGAGCTTCTACATTCTTCTTTCTTTTAATTAATAAGTTGATGAATGGAGAAGGAATTCATGAGGTTCTAAAAAACCGTTCTCCCACCCTTTGCCCTGTTATATTAAGAAATGTAGAAAGAACTGTAAACATTTTCCCATGATGGGCACTGCTTTTCTAACTTTGTTGAGGTATTTTCCGTGAAGAATAATTTTATGTCCTCAAATGCTTTTAAGTTGTTTTTGGGTTTTATGTCAAATTTATTCATTATGACATAATGAAAAAAGTCTGATGTTTTCTTATATATTTGGTTTTTGTAAACCTCTTTATTGTAAGCACACACACACACACACACACACACACACAATGACGTAAAACAATGTACACCCAGACAACTTGTGGTTAAATGACCATGTAAGCCCCTGGCCAGATCCATCTCTCTGCTCAGAATCTGTTCTTAGAAGAAATCAATGTGCTGACGTCTGTAATATCCTTTCTGTGCTCTTTTAGTGTTACCACCTGTGTTAGCTTTCCATTACTGTAACGAATACCTGACATAAACAAACTTACAAAGAGAAAAGGTTCATTTTGACTCAGGGTTTTAGAAGTTCAGTCCATGGTTAGTTGGCCCTGTTGCTTTTGGGCCTGTGGTGAGGCAGCTCATCATGGCAAGGAGCATGTTGAGCCGGGTGGAAAAAAAGGTGAGGAAGGGCTGGGTTACCACTCTCCTCATTTAGAAGCACAGCCCCAAAATGCAAATACCCTCCACTAGACCCTACCTCTCAAAGCTTCTCATACCTCTCGATAGTGCCAAGCTGGGGTCCAAACCTTTAACATATGGCCCTTTCGGGGATATTTAAGATTCACATGCCAGCATTACTTTACTATGTGTCCCTAAACATTGTTTGTAGAATTCACTCATGTCGGGTTGGAGTGTAGTTCGGTGGTAGAGCACTTGCGTAGCGTGCATGAGCCCCTGGGTTTAGTCATGAGCACTGTACTAAAAGAAAAATTGTCCATGTTGCATATAGCTGTGGTTCACTCATGTTCATTGTTTTACAGTATTTGGGGTTTCCTTTCTTTTCCGTTTGTTTTCACTGTATGGTGTTTTATTGCATATATGTACCATAATTTATTTATCCAGTTGGAATTTATCTTGGATGTAAGACTCTAACCGAATTTGTTTTCAAATGAGTAGCTTGCTGATCCAACAATATTTATCGAGTGATCCATCTTTTCTCACTGATTTAAATGCTCCTTTTACTATTTATTAGATAACCTTCTATATTTTGATTTACTTCTAGAGTCTCTCCTCTGCTCTTCTCGTCTTTCTGTCCGCTCCTGAATTCATCATGAACTGTTTATTACAACCACTTTATGAATGTACTTTAAGATCGGGAAGATTTGTCTCCCTAGATTTATTTATTTCTCTCCCTCCCCCAGGATGTTTTTTTCCCCCTGCATGATCCTTTGAATCAAGTTCCAAAATAATCTTGGTGTATTTTTGCATCCCATTAAAATTATACATTAAAAGACAGTAAAATGATATCTTTTCTTATTGAATCATCTAGCCAAAAATGGGATGTTCCTTTTTCTTTTATTTGGGCCTTATCACATAATAGACCAAGGGGATTATTCATATAGGCTTTGTGAAGTAACCCATTTATTTTAACATTTGAATAGTATTCTATTGTGTTTCATTCCGTGGTTTATTTAATCGTTCCACCTTTGACTGACATTTGAATAAATGTTTCTAAATCTATTCTATTATAAATAGTACTGCAAAATATCTCTGCACGAGCATGTGTTTGGGGCATGTCATTTGGAATATTATTACTAGAAATTAAATTGGTTAGACCAAAATTTTTTAATTTAAAGAAAAGTTGATAAAGATCATAGCAATATAAAGAGAAAAACCAAGGAATTGAAGAGCACACTATCATGAAAAAATAAACAGTAGGATGATAAACTTATAGAATACATCCAAATAAAGCTAAGATAGGTAATGTCCTTGCTGTTAAGGAGAGGGTCATAGCAGGAAAATGAAAGGATTATTACACAATTATCATGACCCTGATCGCAAATGCAAAATCAACGCCTGTTTGTCCACAGGATGGAGGCAGAAGTGGCAAGGCTGCCACCGTGACTCTGAGTATCTGCTCTGGGGCTTTTCCTGACTGCTTTGGCCACTAGGGAAACCTCCACTACAACACACTGCTGGGCAAGGGAATGGAAGCCCCCAGATGGCTCCTGCTGTTCACTGAGTTCACTCATGCACCATGGGTCTTGGAGACTATGTGAGAAATGCCTTTCTGCAGAACAAATCCCACCAGAATCAGGCAGAAACAAGATAGAGCCCTGAGGATACCATCTGAGGTCCTAGATCCAGCCTTGCCTGAAGATGTATCCAAGCAGGATTGTCTGAGACCTGAGCCACAAGCAATAGTCACTGTATCAGGCCCCAGAAGACACAGGACTGGGGTGAGAGGCTTGGCATCTCATTGGGGGCTCTAGTACTGCTCTAGTACCGCTCTAGAAGATTAAAGCAGGGCACCTGAACAGAAGAAGACAAAGAGCCAGATATATTGCTGCAGAACAAACCATCCTGAAATTTAGGTGCTTACAGCACTTGCATTTGCTCAGGATTGTGTGGGTCAGCAGTCTACAGTCATAGGGTGGCTTGAATTCCCTGGATGACTTAAGGTGGCCTCACTCATATCTGGGGCCTCAACTGTGATTCCTGGAGCAGGTGGGGCTGGCTGGTCGTTCTCTGCACAGGGTCTCAGCCACAAAGAGTCTACCCCAATATTGTCCACAAGGTGGCGGTGTTCAGAGAGAGCCAGGCCCAGTGAGCAAGTGCTTCTCGGGCATAAGCATGTAGGACCAGACCAGGTGCAACCTGACGATTGCGGGGGAACCAGTGCTTCGATAAGAGGACTGAATCAGTGGTTAGGGAGCACAGGATGGGGACTAACCAATGCCTACCAGGGACAAACAGGTTCTAGAGCCAGGCCAGCCTGGGACTGAATCTTCATTCTGCCATGTACTTTCTCTGTGGCCCTATACTAGTAACTTTTCCATTCTCACCATTGGTTTCTTCCTCTGTAAAACCAACCTAACAGGGTTGTTGTGAGAACCAACCTCTCCGGGCACAAGGAAGCAGTGTGTCGGGAGTGGTGGTAAAGATGGTGATGGCCGATGACGTCGGTGGTTCTCTGCCGGTGCAGAAAACGCTGATGGGCGAATCAGCATGGTCTGTTGGAGGAGGACAGCTGAGGGCGTCGCAGGCGCAGGCAGAGCGGTGGCCTCATCACTTCTGAGGAGTCACCGCCTGCTGGCACCTCCCTCTGGCTAAGGAGCACGTTCAAAGTCACGGAGGTAGGAGTGAGAATAAAGGGCTTGACAAACTGCTTCCACAGCACGTGTGTGTACCCAGAGGAGGGCGCCTCGGCACAAGATGGTGAGCTCCCGCCCCACTGTGACCCCCAGATGCTTATGTTAAAGCTCTGACCCCAGGACCTGGGAATCTGAATGTGTTTGGAGACAGATCCTTTAAAGAGGTGACTAAGTTAAAACAAGGTTGTTAGAGCATGCCCTAATCCAGTCTGGCAGTTGTCCTTGCAAGCCAGTCATGGTGGTGCACACTTGTAATCCCATCACTCTGGGAGGCTGAGGCCGAAGGACTACAAGTTCAAGTCCAGCCTGGGCAACTTGGCAATTTATTGAGATTCTGTCTTAACATAAAAAGTAAAAAAAGGGCTGCAGATGTAGTTCAATGCAAAGATCCTCTATTCAATTTCCAGCACACAAAGAAGGAAATTGGAACACACACAGAGACACCTGTACATGTGCACAGAAGAGAGGCCAGGTGAGGACACGGGGAGAGGCTAGCCCTTGGCAAGCCAAGCAGAGGCCCTTGGAGAAACCAGCCCTTCTAATGCCTCAGCCCCAGACTTCCAGACTGCCCACACGAACCCAGCTGTCTGCGGTGAATCAGCCTGACCTGAGGAACCCCCTGGAGGGACCCGCAGTAGGTGCTCCAGTTGTTAGCCAGCATTAGCCACCAGGCATGTGAGGGAAGAAGCCTGCAGGTGATTCCAGTCCAGCCACTGAATCTTCCAGCTGATCCTCCAGACATGGGACGGACAAGCTCTCCCTACTGCGCGCCCTTTCCAGATTTTGGGCCCACAACATTCATTTAACCCCACTCGATTTGGGGTAGTTTATTACACAGCATTTGGACCCCGTCTCCACCATCACCAAGGCTTCTCTAGAGGTGCCACTGGCTCACTCCAAGCCCGGTGGTGAGAACACCCCAGCTTTGACGAAGAGCTGATGCCGCCACCACGCGGCCAGGAGAAGCAATGCAAGACCTGCTGTGGCCTTTTTAAGAGCCGCTTATGCGCATTCATCGCTGGGAACCTTCACATCCCTGATAGCCGAGTGGAACTGGTTTTTGTATGTTTTCATCTTTGGTCATGAGATTCCATTTACAAATCCACTGTCTCTTACACTCCCTTTCAAAAGTCAAAGTTCTCTGAAAATTGAACATTAAAAAAATCAGTTTACACAGGCTCACTCCATAGCTAAACCTAATTCGAACTGGCAGAAGGCTGTGTAGTCTTCCACTTAAATTTCTCTGGGAGGTATTGGTGTTTGGTTGTAGGACGCCGCTCCAGACCTCCCTCGGGAACTATATCATGTAGAGAGCCGCAGTCCTCAGTGTGGTTCCCAGACAGCAGCATTCACCTGGGAATCATGGGAAATGGAAATCCTCGGGCTCCTCTCCACAGGGATCCAGTCCACAGGGCACCCTCCTGTGCTCTGACAAACCCTCCCAATGGCTCTGGCACGGGGGATGTGCAATACTGTCTTAGCACTCTGTTGCCATGGCAAAATACCTGCGAATAACAATTTAAAGGAAGAAAGGCTATGCTGGCTCATGGCTTCAGAGGTTTCAGCCCATGGCCAGTTGGCTCTGTTGTTTCCTGAGCCCACGGTGAGGCAAAAACATCACAGCAGAAGAGCAAGGCAAAGGAAAGCTGCTCACCTCACAGCAGCCAGGAAGCAGAATGAGTAGGAAGAAGCCAGAGAGAAGGAGCTGGGAACAAGGTCATCCCCGTACGACTCACTCCCTTCAATAAGCTACACCTCCCAGAAGTCATTCAGCTATCCCCGGATTAATCCACAAGCCCACCAGCTGGCATTTTGGGAGGTTTTACCTCCAAACCATAATGAGTACATTTATAAGATCCCCCAAACCTAGAAACTCCAAAGCACAGTCAGTCTTCATAGTTTAAGATGAGTGATTGCTTTCAGTTGTGTATTTTGAAGTTTTAAGTGATGTTCAAGGAAGCCATATGAGTTTTACGTTTTGAAAAAGGGGGCAGAGCTTCCTTGCAGCAATGGAGATGGATGTGATTAATAACCCTAAAAGCTACCTTTTGCTGAGTGTTTATAAACTACCAAGCACTGAGCTAACTGCTTACACTTTCCTGATCCACACGATGATTAGGAGACAGGTATTTTTAAGACGAGGGAAACTGGGGCAAGAGGAGCGAACAATGATCAAAGCCTGGAGTGGCCACCAACAGGAGCTGGGGCATTCAGTAGAGGGACACAGCCACAGCTCAATTCTTCTGCTGGCAGCTGTCCTGCAAGGACCTCTCTTTGGCTAAGCCCCATGAGAAGTCAGAGGACAAGAGAATTCTTACAACCTTAGCCCAGAGGTGCACAGCAGGTGGAGAGAGAACCTCCAGGTAGCGGTGGTGAGGACTGCCCCTGTTTTATACTTCTGTGGTATCTGTACATTCTATGGTATCACAAATATATGCTGTTTCTAAAATGTAGAAAAGTATCACACTGCAAGTGTTGGTTTGCAGCAATTTAATTCTTTTTCAACTCACCCCCGTCCTCACCAATTTACCTACATTATACAGGTAGCTTTATTTCAGCTAATTTTCTGTTGTTTAGAATTTCATCATATTACAATGCTCCTTAATTCATTTTTCACTAGGCAGGTACTCCTAAATGTGGACCAGCTGGGTTGCAGGAGACACATATATATCTTTATTAAACAATGCCAAATTTCTCTCCAAAGTGACTGTGTCCCAGCATTTGGGGTTCTGGTTCCATAGTCCTACCCTACCCAAGTATGAGCAGACTTTTTTTTTTTTTTCCATCTATGAGATGCCTGCGAAAATTTACCTTCTGGCTGTTTTATTTGCATTTTCCTGATAATCCCAAAGTCAAGCAGCTCTTCAACCAGTCTGTTGTCTGGGGACACACATCTTGCCTTCATACCTTACCTTTGCCTGTATATCTTCCAAGCCGAGACTTCCAGAACTCCGGATGCCCTGCCTCCCCTGTTCCAGGCAGATACACATGGGAAACACCTCGGCTTTCAGGCTGCCACCTGCGACAGATGTTCCAGACTCAGTTTGTGTTGCTCAGGATTGGGGAACAATTTCTATTTGCTATAGATGTCATCTCCCCTCCCCCAGGGACAGTGAATGACAAAAGCTAGATGGCTGGAAGGGAGGAGGGCAACAGCAACAATAGCAGCAGCAGCAGCTCAGCGAAATGGGCCAAAAGAACAGCCAAGCCTTGGTTTATAATTTCCAGAATAGCATCTTGCTACATTTTCAAGCGCTGTGCATCAAAGCCCATGTATTCTAGGATGGGTAAAATTGTTCCCTGAGCCCTCTGGTAGCCTGGTAAGTAGGGACATCACTCATTCAACAAATTCTTACTGCACTGCTCCCAGGTGCCAAGCTTTGCCAAGAATTGGAAATTCAGTGGTAAACAAAACAGACCCAGCCCTTTCCTGGGACCCTGTGTTAGTGTCTTCGGCAGCCAAAAGAAAAGACCACAGAAATAATAGGCATTTCTTTCTTGGGCTTCTGGGGGTTACAGATACTATATCAAGATGTTGGCAGGAGAGGCCGGGGATTTAGCTCAACAGTTCAGTGGCCTGCCTTGCAAGCACAAGGACCCAAGTTCAATCCCTGGTACAAAAAAAAAAAAAAAGATGTTGGCAGGTTCATTTCTCTCAAAGCCTTTCCCCTGGCTTATAATAGCTGTCTCCCTCCAGTGTCTTCACAGGGTCATTTTTCTTCCTTCTGATACCCTCATGTCAAGACACCAGTCCTGTTGGATTCACCCATGTGAACTCATGTTACCTTAGTTATCTTTTTAAAAAAGTATGGTCAGTTTCTGTCCCTATAACACAATACCCAAGGCAGTTAACTTATATATAGAAAAGGTTCATTTTTGGCTCACAGTCTTGGAGGTTCCAGCCTGAGATCAGGTGACCCCATAGCTTTGGCCCCTGGCCAAGGTGGTACATTGTAGCAGAAACACACAGCAGAGCAAAACCACTTATTTCATGAGCCAGGAAGCAAAAAGGAAGAAAGAGACCACAGCCCCATAATCTCCACAGTGCCAGTGACCTAAGGACCTCCCCAAACCCCACCTCCTGAAGGTCCACAGCCCCTCCTGACGCTGCCATCCTGGGGACCAAACCTTTAGCACGTGTACCTCTGGTAGACACAACCACAACACAAACCATAGCAAAGACCCCATCTCCAAGCAGTCACATTCTGAGTACCGGGGATTAGGACCTCAGCCTGTGAGTCTGGACAGGGAACAGCACAGTTTGACCATCACGCTGTAGTGGGAGACTCAGATGTTAACTCAGTAGTCACATCTGGATGTAAAATTATCTGAGGGGCTTTGACTCAGGGGGTTCGAGGTGCCTTCCCTGAGGAGGTGACATTTGACTGAGCATTGCAAGAAAGGCGGAGCCAAGCAGAGAGAAGGAGCGGTAGCCTAAGCAGAGGGACCTGATGTGCCACCGTAATGGAAAAGCCTGGCGGGTATCTGCTGACCTGAAGGCAGTGAAGTGGCACAGGTACTGGAGGCGTGCATGGGGCTGCACTCAGAGCTGGGGCGTCCTGCCCCAGACACCAATCATCACAGTGCTTAGAAAATACAGACCCAGACTAGGCACGGTGGTGCACGGCTGTAAGTTTAGCTGCTTGGAAGGCTGAATGAAGCAGGAGAATCGGAAGCTCAACACCACCGTGGGGAACTTGGCAAGAACTTGTCTCCCCATAGGATGTAGCCCTATGCTCCCTAGGTGTAATCCCCAGTATCCCAAACAAAACAAAACATAAAAGACCCAGATCCCAGGCCTCGCTCAGGTCGGCTAGATCAAAATCTCCAAGAGAAAGGGCCCAAGAACCTGCAGGTTTCCTCCAGTGTTTTCATTTTGAAACATATCAAGCCTCCAGAGAAATTAAAAGAAAAATAGGAATGCTTGAATTCCCTTCACCCAGGCTCACCACTTGTTAACGTTTTGGCTCATTTTCTCTTTCTCTCCCTGTCTTACCCTATCTTCAGCATGCATTACTGAAGAAAAGGACCAAGATCTCCACAATCGCAACCATATCATAGCTAACAATATTAACATCAGGTCATAAATGCCATCCAGTGTGCAGAGAAGAGTTTAATTCTCATATGTCCATGGAATTTATTTTATAGCTATGTAGCTACTTTTCCTATCCAGTATCTAATCAAAGCACATAGATTACACATTTTGTTATGTGCCTTTAGTCTGTATTAATCCAGAATAACCCCTTGCCTTTTAAAAAAGAATGGTATTGATTTGAAAGAAAAAAGAGAGCCCAAGCTTGTAGAATGCCCCACATTCTAGATCTGTCTAAATATTCCTCGTGATTAAAAGCAGGTTAAGTATTTTTGGTGAGAAGATGAGATAGAAGGTGCCAGGTACATGGTATTGCATCACATCAGGGCAAACTATGTCAGGCTGTCCCCCTCTGGGTGGTGCTGAGTTAACCCTCCAGGTAAGAAGGAGACTGCCGGGTCCCTTCTCCGTAAAGCTACAAGTGCCCCTTTTCAATTAGTCAATAATCTGTGCTGTCATGTTTTGAACTACGTGAAGATTCTGTTAACCAATAACTTTTCACTCCATGGCTTGGGCTTCTTGCTGATTCTGTGCTCACCCAAGTTTGAGAAACAGGGAATTAGGCAGTGACCCTGAGCTTTGGCTACCCTGAGTCAGGTGGTATTTTCAGCAAACCTCTTCGGGTGTGTGTGTGTATGTGTGTGTGTGTGTGTGTGTGTGTGTGTGTGTGTGTGTGTGTGTGTGTGTGTGTGTGTGTGTGTAGTGTGTGTGTGTGTTTGGCACCCGGGAGCTACATCCTGGCCCATTTTTGGCCTTGGTTTTGTTTTCAACTGTGTAAAAATCGATCCCCCAGTGATTCCTATTTAAATGCTCTGGGGTAGGTATCAAAATATCTTAAAGTTTCCTCAGTGAATCCATGTGCAAGAGAGTTACTGTGCAAGACTCACCATAAACTGAGTATCAAAATGAAAATCTAGAAAATTTAAAGAAATGGAAACCAGTTCATTCCCCCTCTTAGTTACCTCTGTCCTCACATTACAGGAGGGAGTCAGTTACCTGGTAGCCCCAAACCTCTGGCATTCCTTCCACACCACTTGCGGGCTCCCTCTACCAGCAAACAGCTTTGTGCAGGGTACAAAGGAGTCAGGAGAGAGGTCACTTCCCTCAAGAGCAGGGGGACGTGGGAAAAAAAACGCACATACAAATACACACGAGTATTGTACAATAGGAGTTTCTTAGCGCAGGAAACCACTGGGAAGAGGAAACGACCGCCCTGAGCTCTTGCTGGAGCCAGGACTCTGCCCTGGATGCCTCTGCTCAGCTCAGTTTTATTTCAGACCACGTGGCACCTCTGCACTTCTGGTGAGTGTGCTGCTTGGGTCTGGCCTGGAGCCATGTCATCCTCACCGGCATCATCAGCATGGAGACAAGAGCCACCTAGCAAGGCTTCCTCTGGGCCAGACATTGGACAAGTCGTCTGTGGAGTGGACGAGTGAGCGCTGCCAGCCAGCAGCTGCCCACTGACGGCCATTAAGAAACCCTGCATCTTGTTCCTCCTGGCAGGAACTCCTTTTGAGGCAGGAATGAGCACAGTTTTTCACAGATTCAGGGGCCTCTAGGACTTGTCTCACATTGTAGCAGCCCTTGTAAATTCACCTAAATTCAACCTTTTGTATAATGAGTCTGTAACTGAGTTGACTGAGTTGCAGTTGAATAGTTGACAGAGAGTGATGTAAAGAGTTAATTCTATATTTGTGGTATCAGTGTTTCTGATTTTATACGCTGGAGCCAACCCATTTTTTTTTTCAGGTCCTCAGACACTCACTGACCTTCGGTTGTACTGTAATGTTTTACCGTAGGTGGTACCGTAAATGGCCTCGAAATCAAGGAGCGGACTTTCCTGCCTGGGGACAGAAGAGAGCATTTGGAAGTCACCAAATGTGTTGCTTTCAAGGACTGAAGTATACTTTACCCTTCTTTTAAAAATGTTTATTGATATATAATTCATATCATAAATTTACCCACTTGAAGTACAGGGGCCCATGGTTTTTAGTATATTGATGGTCATGTGACCACTATTACCATCAGTGTTAGAACATTTCATCACCCACAAAAGAAATAGCCTTTACCAGTCACCCCCTACTTACTCCCAACACTACTCTCCCAGCTTGGCACCCACTAGTCGGCTTTCTGACTCTATGGATTTGCCCATTCCGGACATTTCAGACAGACTCATACAATACGTGGCCATGTAGCTTGCTTCCTTCATTGAGCATTGTGTATTTTGGGGTTTTTTTTGGTACAGGGGATGGGGACCTTGCGCTTGCAAGACAGGTGGCAGAACCACTGCACTAAATCCCCAGTCCTGTGAGCATTGTGTTTTCAAAGTTCACCCATATTTCCAAAGCAGCTACCTCATTTTACATTCCCACCAGTGATGGATGAGAGTCCCAATTTCCCTGTAGCCTCACCAGCACTTGTTATTATTGCCTTCTTAGTGGGTGTGAAGTGGCATTGTATAGTGGTTTTGCTTCACATTTTCCCAGACAGCTGATGATATTGAGTATCTTTACATGCACCTATTGGGCAATTCTTTATCTCCTTTGAGGAAATGACTATTCAGATCCTTGCACATTTTTAATTGAGTTATTTGTCCTTTATTATTGAGTTGTTAGAATTGTTTATGTATTCTAGCTACAAGTCTCTTATCAGATATATAATTTGCCACTACTTCCTCCTATTCTGTGAGATATTGTATTAATTTGCTAAGGCTTCTGTAACAAAATTACCACAGACTGGGTGGCCTAAGCAACAAATTTATTTCTCACAGTTTTGTGAGCTGAAAGTCCGAGATGAAGGTTGACAGGTTTGGTATCTCCTGAGGTCTCTTGCCTCCTTGGTGTTTCTTCTTAGAAAAATATTAGTCATAGTGGATTAAAGAACCACCCTAAATGTCTCAATTTAACATTAATACCTGTAAACTTATCTCCCCAAATGGTCACACTCAGAGATACTGGGGGTTGGGAATCAAACATATTGATTTGGAGGAAACAAAATTCAGTCTATCTTTTCACTTTCCTGATGGTGTCCTTTGAAGCACAAAATTTTAAATAATAATCAAATCCAAATTTTTTGTTGCTTTTGCTTAGTCATATCTGAGAAAGCATTGCATAATCCAAGGTTATAGAGATTTATGCCTACATAAATCTGAGAGTTTTACAAGTTTAACATCTAAGTCTGATCCATTTGGGGTTAATTTTTTTTTTTTTTAACTGGGGATTGAACTCTTGCATTTGCAAGGCAGGCAGCAGAACCACTGAGCTAGATCCCTGGCCCACTGGGTTAATTTTTGTATATGGTGTGAGGTAGGGGTCCATCTTCACTCTTTCACAAGTGAATATTCAGTTGTCCCAGCATCATTTGTTGAAAAAACTAGTCTTTCTCCATTGAATTGCCTTGGCACTTCTGCCTAGGCACTTTTGTTGAAAATCCTTTGGCTGTAAATATAAGGATGTATTCTGGACTCTCAGTTTTATTTGGTTGATTGATATACTCATCTTTATACCTTCACCACACTATTTTGGTTACTTGCTTTGCTTTGTCGTGGGTTTGGAATCACAAAATATGAGTTCTCCAGCTTCTTTTGAATATATATATATATATATATATATATATGTATATATATATATATTCTACCTTTTGGTATCAAACAGTATGGGAGTATGGGTGATGCAAATGAACAGAGACCTGGGGATTTGGGACACTTCCTCCCCACCACTTCAAGACTTCATTTCAGGAACTCAGCTCCAAGTTCTACACATGCCTCAGAGAGATGGATTACCACCTTCTCAGCCCACAGCTCTTCATTATAAATCAATGGAAACGTTCTGCAGAGAACAATGCTCCCCTTGGGTTATTTTAAACATCACTTGAAGACTTCCCCACCTGCTCTGCTCTTTAATTGCTCCTACGGAAACAGTGTCAGTCACAACTGGATTATTAATGAACTGCGGGGGGTGGTGGTGGCAAATGAAGGGCGGGCATCAGAGGACCTGACTTAGGGCCCAAGAGGACTGGAACAAGCCCAACACACAGGTTTTTGCACCTCCAAGAAAAGTTAGTGAGTTTCATCAGCAAATAGGAAATCACTAAAATTCAGGTCGTACTATGGCCTCAACAGAATATTGCCTGTAAAGACCCAGAGTTCTTCAAACAAGACTGCTATGAATTGAATTAACCGTGCACCATCTTCAAATTCCCCCCAAATTAAATCGTCCCTTCCCCCATGGTTGGCTCTGGGGTGCTTAGGGTTCTAATCTGCCCCCCCCAAACTCAGGAAACAAAGCTCTTTGTAGAGAAGAGAACTCTATTGTTCTAAGGTCAGCGCTCAGCTCAGCGAGTGTGGATTCCAGAGAATGTTTTGGGATCCCCCCCCACCGCCGTTTTGTTTATTAACTTTCTCTCTTCTTCCTGGTGGGAGGAGGGGTTGGTTCTCAACAGCAATTTAAAGATAGTGAAATCCATTGTTGTGTAAAGAAAGGCGTACAGTGCTCGGCCTTCTGACCCAGAAGAGTCTGGGACGAGAAGACAGAGCCCACCTTGTATGTTTCACGTTGTGTTTTTAGCATGAAATCTCAGGGAGGCAGCCAGGTCTAGGTCTCGCACATCAAAACCCCACAGACGTCAGCAGAGGTACGACCACTTCCTTCCTTCTTTGACTTAGCTCCCTTCTTTCCAGAAAGAGGAAATGATGCAGTCCACGTCTTCGCAGGTTGTGGCCCATATGCTCCCACTATGTGGCTCTACCCTGTCCCCAGGGCCAGGCCTCCTCTCTGGACGTCCTGAGAAGCCTTCAGATTCCGGCTGTGCACCTCAAGGTAGAAGTCTTGACTTTTCTGGCCCTGGCACTATTGTATGTGACCACGTCATGTTACTGTTCCTCTCGGCTTCACGATGCCCATCTGTCGAATGGGAGCAACAATACCCTCCTCGGCTGGCTTTCCCTCTTTCCATCCTGGTGGGCGGGAGGAAGAGATCAAAACACAGCTCTTCCGAAGCCCGGCTGCAACCCAGCCCCTTTCACTTTCCTGCAGCTCGGAGGAGAGTCCCCACCCCTACGGCGGCGCTGGGACCCTTCCCACCTTCGCTGGCTCGGGAGCCTAACCGGGTTTGCTTGCCCACCCACTTCCCGAGACTCAGGCCCCGCCTCGGGGGAGGAGCCGAGAGCGGCGACGAGGCTTACGGCAGAGAGGAGCTGGCTCTGTAGCCGCGCGAGCTGCTGCGGCTCCGGGTCCTACGGACAGAGCCAGGGCCGGGAGCCGCCCGGGGCAGGGCTCGGGAGAGCGGTGAGTTCCTCAGAGGCGCCGCCTCCTCCCCTGCGCTGTGCGGCTGGACCGGGCGGAGGACGAGGATGGGGCGGGGAGGGGGTGTTCTCAGCTGCGATAACCTGCCTGGAGGGCGAAGGTGCCTTTGGCCAAGGGCCGGTGGTTTAAGATAATTTGGGGTGGGGTGTCCCGGAAAGGCGGGTAGAGAACGCGCGGCTGGGGAGTTGGGCCGGCGTGTGGGCGTTCTCCCGCGTCTCGCGCTCCCTCGGCGAGGCTGGGGTAGGGGTGCATCTGCAGGTTGTTGGCTGGGGCTGTCGAGGCCCGGTGTCGGGCGGGGCGGGGGTCCTCTGCTGGTTCTGGAC